CATTAGAAAAAATACAACAAACACTTGGGAAATGCAACTATATGTTGTTCTCCAAACTTTTGAACGAGAAACCTTCATACCCTTATTCTCGTCCAATCCTTGCCTTCAATCCAGCCGCATCACGACTGCACGCGTGAATTGCAAGTGCTGCGGCCGTAACTCCAATTCTGATTTCGATCATAGTTTCAGAAAACGGTTCTACCCAGTAAAAGCTGGTCGTGCACGAGGGAATAAATTTCACATGGCCAAAATTCTATCGGGGACCGAAACTTTTCGGTATGTACCCTAATCTAAGAAAAACACAAGCATTGCTCTACATCTTGTATTCAGATTTCTCCAAACAAAAAAGCTCGGTATTGTAAACAAAACGAACAAAACATATGTTTGTAACACACGTAATCTCATTATCACCATCTAAACACCATGCTATTACTTACACTTACTATACATATTTACAAATCTCTAAACAACACATGAGAATTAAGTGTTTCTCATAAACAATCTCTGTAAACGCCGTTACCTTTACATTGCGGTATATTTACAAACGAAGAGAAAGCCTAGAAAGCACATGGTACCATAAAACTGAGCTTAAAAATCGATTCCTCAGGAATCAAAACAAGTAACGAGAATTTCAAACTTCTTGTAAAGAATTTGCGTGTAAATAAAATGAGATGAATTTACAGAACAATGCTAGAACTATGTGTATAAAGGACACTTTTCAGTTTAGAGAAGTAGTCGAGTAATCTAACCGGATTCTTTTTGAGCCAACGTTATTTACAAGGGTTAAACAAGGCTTGAAAAGAACTGGAACGTATTAGGCATAGAAATTAGAGAAATAAATACTATTATACAAGTGGCGGGAGTTAGGAGGCTTGCCCCGAGGCTGCTATATTGCAACGATTCTTTATCCTCAACTCGGCGTCTCCCTTACCTATTAGGTGGGCGCGCAATTGTGGAAATCATGCACTTACCTCAGAGCAAACAAAGTAATGGAGCTACAAATTCTAAAAAAAGGAAGAGAAAGTTTCCAAGAGGCAAGTCATTCGCCTCTTGATGAATTTCGTACTTGGCACGTCTCACGCACTTCGGGCAGTCGTCAAGTCTACGTTCACATTCCGCATGGTAAACCGAGAAACAATGTGGACACTGAAAAATCATAGTTTGAAAGTCTAATGACACTCAATAGAAATAACTTTGCTCAGCAATAAATAAAGAGCTTGTGAAAATCGTACAGTAACCCTTGCTTGAGAAAGCTTAGACGCGGATCAAGCCTCTGAGGAAAAATTCTGTGAGTAAACCTTACCCTATAGGTGGTTTCCGTCTGGAACGGATAGATGACTTCACGCGCCTCGCATATCTCACAGACGAAACCCTTCTGACGACACAGTGAACAGTGCATGACGTGATCGATTGCATGCTTGAGAAAACCTTGAACCTGCTTCTCCAGGAGGCCACTGTGCAGCTGATAAAGATCCTGAAAGGAGGCATTTTTAATCATAAGACTGAACACTTCGGAAAAGGACGACTGAGCAAGCCAAATAAACTTTACAAGTAAACCAAAAATAAATAGCCAAATAAACTTTACAAGTAAACCAAAAAAGGAATCAGAAACAATTTTAATACTTACACTGATCGAGTACGCATGGATATCGTTGTACAAGTGATTTCGGGGCCACACTCGTCTTCGGAAATCTTCAGCTATTGACTCTCGGCAATTGAAGAGGTACATAGATGCGATCTGCAGTTTCTCTCGCATACCCTGCAAAATTTGAGCAGTATGAACGAGGCATTTTGATGAATAAAAAAGCTGGATGGAACTGTTGATGGCACCAATATATAACTGCGCAAGCCAAGCTAGTGAGATCCCACTCTCTGTAAAGATCAATCCAAGCATCTCCCAAATACGATCTCAAAGTATGAGCGTCCAAATCAGAACAACCTTTATCCCTGAACAAAGAAACTTGGTCACATTCTCAATGCAAGACGATACCTACAAATCCAATGGCTTCACTTCCACTGTTAAGCCCCACCTCTCGAGCATTTTAGCATGGGTCGGTTATATTTTGAGCATAAAACATGGAACACCCCTTCAGCAGGTTTTTCAATAAACGCAGACTGAGCGATAATGAATAATTGCTTATATTAGTCGACCAATTAATAATAGCGCATTTTTTCAAGCGGATTTTGCTTTAGGAAGGTTGGATGCCAGTTACAGTATAGCCCGAGCCAACAAGCCTTCCGTTCCCGGGGCCCGTTAGTCAGCACCACACCCGCCTGAGAAGAAAAGTCACTAACTCGTAACCGGATGCAACCCGCTTTTCATGTAAAGAGCCATCTTGCGTTCATATTTTATGCGATTCTGAATGGAAACGGAGTGGAATGGGGTGCACTCCAACGAGGGAATGGTCGATGTCGAATGTTTTATCTTCTTATGGTTTAAGCTGCGATCATGAGAAGTTTCGAGTGGAAAAAGAAAAATATACCTTCATTGTCTTCAACAAGGGCACATGCTCATACAGGGAGGGATTATGTTGATCAATGTGAAAGATGACATTGTCCTAAACAACCAAGCTGAGTTTCTGCAACTGCTTCGTGCAAGTATTGTGAGCAGAACCTATTGCTCCATCAACTCTACCTGGTTGGCTTCTATGAAAGCACGCCCTCGATCCGACACAGGACGCGGTTTCCAGTCCCAACTACGCAAAATGCGAGCAGGTACTGGCATTTCGCCGCCGGCACGCATACAGTCTGCGCAATAGTACATTCCATCGATCCCGCATACACTGAAATACAACCGTTCACTCATATAAAGCAAATCTATAATAATGGAAGAAAGCAAAGCAGAAGTATGGGAGATTCTGCCTCTGTAGTTGTACAAAAACAGTTGACTCACCCATATTTCGAGAAAGCGGCTCCAATAGATTTCCTACACATTGGACAACGAAAATCTTGAGAATCCAAGCCGGCTTCACGAGGTATCGTTGTCATTTTCGTTGCCACTTGCTCCAGAAGAGCAGCAGACTCCTTTCGCGACGGGGACTTTTGCTGAAACAAAATCTTACAAATTTAAGAAGCATGCAGATCATCAAGTTAAGGGGATCGTCTTGAACGTTTTCTGAAGCCGAGGCTAGGGAGGCGCAACGCAGCGCCGCGTGCGGGGCGGATAAACTGCACTGACAGATCATCCCCGCCATGAATGAAGCAAAAATTTCTTCAACCCCAAAGGTGATACCACTGTGATTGCAATTCTTTCATAATTCAGATACAACAATTCATGAAAGCTTTACAGAAATGGTCACAAAACAAACCTCATCGTCGATGTCTTCGACATCCGTCTCAAAACCTAGCTCCCTCGTGTCATCCAAGTCCAACTCCTGAATGAAGACCTCATTTGATTTCCACATAAAATAAACATTTAGAAATTATCACACACAAAACAGAGGGTAAACAGTTATAACACATTGAGTAAATAAAGATATAGACGAAAACAACAACAATGGGGAATGTTTTTCTTTTGAAAATCTCGATTGTCAAAAAAGTACCTTATTAGGTGAACCACTGGTTTCCATCGCTGATCTTAGCGCCTGATCAAAGCTCACAATACCCCCATCAGCTTCTGTGCCTGACGACGACGAAAGCAAAGCGCTACCACTTCTTTCTGGTTCTGACTAAACACTCAACGCTACTCATTCGTACTTATACTGTTCAAATATACTGTGTTAGGCGTGGCGATGGTGAAAAGCACCAAGATATTGCAAAAGAATTTAAGGAGAGGTAAAGATTTTTAAGTCTTTGGAGCTTTTGAGTGAAATTTGTTGCCTCGAGCCGCTGTTTCGCATTTGAATCCACACAGGCTTCTAACAACCCTCAGATACATTCTGGACCTTTTTAAGCTACCGGGTGGAAATTATGGCTAGGAGAAGAATAAAAAAATGTTGTATGCTAATTTGGCGAAAGTGAGGGCATGCAACCGCGGCTTTACCTATTCAAATATTTGCAGCAAAAGTATTTTCAAACCAAACCTTAACTTGCTGAATATATATGATTTCGGTGCTTAAACTTTCACAGCAAAAGAATTTGGAACATTTTCAAGAAATTGGAAAAAAAACCCAAAAAATAATGTTGAATGGTAATACCAACGCAAAAACTTACAGAAGTTGTAGTTGGCTTCTTCCAACTCCTATTCAATAAACTATTACTGCCAGGTTTTACATCTGCAAGTATCAACTCGTCGTGAAGTGATGCACCAAATGTGGGCTCCTCCTGGAAATGATGATTACAGCATGTTCTGATGAACTTGCAAGGCATAAAATAGGACATACTTCTGAGCCAGCTTGTGGAATAGGGACAGCTCCGTCGTTTTGAGTATCAGACGTGTTCACGTCATCGTCAAAGACGTCATCTGCCAAGTCATCTACAACTTTCGGAGACTCCCTGGCTCGCACATTATCGTCGTTGAGAGGCAAGTGGACAGATTTCTTCACTCGGATGTAGGGTTTCTAGTAACGTCGAAAAGGGCGGATCAGTACCGGATCCATTGAAGTTATTCGAAAGAATTTCTGAAGTAAAAATTCTCCATTGTCAAAAATCCTTGACAGACAACATCAAACACACTGATTGGAGAATGATGTTACGTATTATATCCACCCTGCGCCCGTGCGATTGCGTACAGCAGGCGATTACAGTACTCTCACGGCTAGTTCCGCTATCGTTGGCACCCTGTTTTCGATTGAATAACTACGGGTAGAACTTGTGATGAGAGGAAATAATAAGACTAGATGACTTATATCTGGTCTAGCAGTTTTTTGCATATATCTTCGAGATGTCAGCAGTGAATATTTGTGGTAGTGGACATCAGAAAATTCCCTATCTCCTATCCAGCAAAAGTGGAAGCGAACACTGAACATAACATTTAATGCAAAATGATTGGAATCGTGGAGAACAGTTTTCCCATTTATAGCGCAATAGTTAAGCTTTTGCTCACAGCTTACGTAAAGAACTGCTATATCTTCCAACGCAGAAGCTGTAAAATCCCACACAAGGTTGGCGAATAAAAGCGCCAAGTCATCATGCTCCTCCCCACCCCTGCTGGTCCCCCTAGTACTAGGCTGAGTCTAGGGGGATGTGTAAGCAGTTTTCATTACCCTCAAAGTTCACCCTCTTCTCCAAGGCTCAGTCAGCGTGGGCATGCCCCTTTTGAGTACACTAGCGCCTCAAGAAATTGATTCGCAACAGTAACGCAAACGCTCCTGTAAGCGGAATTATCTCCAATGGAACTGAATCACATTTTACGGCATCTTTTACAGAAAGAATGAACATATCCCGTGCCTATCATCTACAAGTATGCGCTCTCACTTTCAGCACAAGTCATCCTCACAAGGATACCTCCGTATCAGATTTCTATGTCTATGGAAATATCTACAAGTGCTAATAAATCAACTAACAACTCGAAAACAAGGTGGCCGTGAGACGCAACTACTAAGCAGTTCATGATGAAAACTATCTCACGAATTAGAACTCTCTTCCCTCAGGTACCAAGCGAACTTCGTCCCTCGAGTCCCTCACTGCACTGGTACAATGCATAATGGCATCAATGATTGTTCTAGTGCGGAACATTATAAATACACTAGCACATTACCCTATTTTGCATGTTAAGAAGTAAATGACATGAGGAATTAGAGTGGTTTCCAGGCGCGCAATGGTTTTCCAACGATATGTAGAGCATCTCTCGGTACCCGTCACCTATCTGAAAGGAGAAATGCATGGCTCGACTCAGTACAATATTCGGAGCTGTGCTAGTTATGAATTGATTAGTCTTCCCATTTCCTTTCATCACGAGCCCCGCCTGTGATCATCAGTTACAAATGTCAACGCCAGTAGAACTAGGCGTGGGTGTACTGTAATCGCTTGCGGTACGCAATTGCACCGGCGCAGGGTGGGATATATACGTAACATCGGGGAGAATAACCTTTACAAGAAATATTTAGAAGAAACATCGTTGAGAGACAAACCTGTTCCAGCCACACAAGGCTCGTCACTTGCTTTGATAGGACTCAAATTTGCATCAATCAGCTCTCTACCTTTGTCGTCAGAAACCGAGCTGATTGTTTCTGGATTCGGATCCCTGCAATACGCACCCCTACAGAAACTAATAAAAGACGAGAGCAGCGCAAAAAAGTGCGATCACAAACCTATTCTCCAGAATCGATGCCACTGTCAAGTGTTTCGGAAGGCCTCATTCGTGTATGGTTCACAGAGATCACTGAGGTGCCGAGCTCGGTTAAACCGCTTGCTCGGGTGCTCGCCTGGAACACATTTATAAATAGATCGAAACGTGAACCAAGTAAAACACAAGAACGTTCGGCTGAACTCAGCATACGATAAAACAATGCTCGTACTCGTTGTAGTGCTATCGTTCAAGAGATAAGGCAGAGAAAATCATGGGGGTAATGAGGGCGCCAATTCAAGTGCGAATTGGTTATACAGAGAATACTTTGAATCAATCTCACTTGCGAAACCTTTACAAATGCATCATGAGAAACCGGCTCTCGAATGGGAACAGAAGCCATTCAAAAATTTCAAAAATAGCAAAAATCGATGTTCTCAACCACCATTTCTTCAAAACCAGTTGCAGAAGTAGAATTCCGCCCACATCTCGCCCAGTAGGAGAGAAAAGAAAAAAAAGCGACGTAACAGAAGTGATAAGGAAGTAATCTATTCACCTTTTCGCTGTGAGAATGTGATCCTCGAGAGCAAGACTCGCTACTGCTTCTCGATGACCGACGTGGAGCTTTGGTTCGACGAGACACAATTATCGGCTGAAATACCCACGCTAGACTTTTGAGCCCGATTATCCAACCACAAAATTCCCAAATCGGGAGGATTTATTACTTTCTGTAATAAAAAACCAAACGTCTAGAAACCACTTACCGCAACATTTTGTGGAGGAAATTCACCATAACCGTTGTTAAGTGGGGACGACGATAAAATTATACGTTCTGGTATTCTCTCTGAGTCGTTAATCATGGACGGATGCGAGTACACAGATTCGTCATCATCGCTAAGGATGATCTCTGAAAATTACTAATTGTTAACTCCACACGCTCTGGTACTACTTAACAATTGTTCGCTATGATAGAGCGCACCTATGCGTGCATCAAATAAACAAATAAATAAATCGGGCTTGTGAAAAGCTAACATACTTCGACTATTCCTCTCCTTTCCATATATGGGCGATAACACCAGCGTTGAACGCTCCGATTGTAAGAAATCTATTGCGGACATTCCCACTTCTGTAGAGTTATCGCGAAGCGATGACGCACGTTGGCGAGGTGCCAGTGCTCCCACTAGATTTTTTATAGTTAACTGTAAGAACAGAACACATTTTAGCCAAATTTGCAAAACATACCCTTCAACGGCTTCCCATCAACCAAACCGGCTAATATAAGTGGCGAAGGTGTCCATGTGTTCAGGAAAGAGCTGTTAACTGCAGCGCAGATCGGAAGCTGATCGAGATTTTTCAACAAGTCGCTAACTTTTGTCATCTGCTCCACATCACGCAAAAGGGCATTTTCATCATAGAATTGACTGAAAGTGAAGGAGTTTATATAAAGTTACTATGAGACCTTGTAAAGGCGACAATGACAAAAATAGGGTCAGATTTCCTATGTCTCACTTTATCGCCTTAGTCTCGCCAAGTAGTAACTGAACGTAATGCTCCAGAGAGTTTTGATTCACAACAATGCGAATCCAAGCCTGTCAAAAGAACAATAGCCATGGAAACATTCATCATTACAAAAAGCAGTGTAGCTCACCCTTCCTCGACCAATTTCCGATTTGATCTGTTTCAATGAATTGATTTCTGAGGTTATACTTTTATGCGAGTACTTGGAGACAAATGGCCAGAAATTCTGGAATAAAGTGCATTTCTTTTTTACATAAAACAATTAGATAAACTATTTAATTTCAAAACAAATAAGCATTAGAAATAACACTGACCGGCTCGGGATATTTGGCGTATCTGGATCCTTTTACAAAGAACGGATCCCTCAGACCATGTATAAAAATCGCTTCGATCACGTTGCAAATATTTTGAGTGATCTCGCTAAATCACATGGGTATCATAAAAAGTAACACTGCTGCCATTACGACACTACCGATAAGAAAAGCAATTAGCCGCCCTCGTTGAAAAAAAAACGACAAGGCGAAAATGACTAAGGAATCGAATGAAAAAATTAATTAACCACAATCAATTTATGACATATTATATCACTGAAATCACATCTAAATCAGACAAACCTGGAAATACAGTCTTTCACGATATATGGTGAGGACTTCGCTGCTTTTAACACAGTCTCCAATTCCTTGATTATACCAATTTTCGATTTTTCGTGATTTGAGAACGTAGACATGACGAAAGCTGAAACGATAGCGATTACTGCCTGACACCGACAACAAACGAAAGCGACGACGCAATCAATGAGAAAAACCGAGGAGAGCGAAGAGAAGGGAAAACGCATGGAAGTGAAGAACTCATTGACACTTTGCAAGTGCTTCTGATGGTGAGCAGCACAGTTAAAACAATAGAGCTCTCGACCGAAATGCAGTGACCCAATTTTCAAATATAGATGTTCAGGGAAAACGACCTCTGATCAATGCCCCACCAGACCTATCTACTCGAACTGCACATCCCAATACAAATAATTCTCCACTTCACCAACTCTCACGACGATATCGATTAAAAACGTCGAAGCATTTTTGCTCAATTTCAAACTCTCAAAGCGGCAGATGTGGTAACTTAATTGGGTTTCGAATAATAGTGATAGCATTAGTGATAGAATTAGCTTTGAGGAGGAGGACACGACTCCACAACTTCGCAAAAATATCTTGTAACAGTGAATCATTGAGCTTCGCCCTCGCTTCAACGAGTGGCCGATTTCAGAGTTTGC